ATTGACCATGTCTGCATCAAAAAAAGTTCAGAAGGACCATGGAGGATGTGAGAACCAAGAGAGGGGCTGACACAGCCTCAGATCACTGATTGCTGGTCGCTAAAATGAAACTGAAACTAAAGAAGCACTGGACAACGAGGCAGACAACATCACAGAAGTTTAATACGGACTTTCTGCGGAATACCGTAAAACTCAACGAATTCAAGATAGCCCTCACCAATAGGTTTCAGGCCTTGCACGATTTACTCAATGGAGCGGGAACAACCTTGGAGAACAATGCGAAGGTGATCTAGGACATATCACGAGGTTCTAGGCAACATGAAGTACTATCACAAGGAATGGATCTCTTTTGGTACTCCCAGAAAAATTGAAGAAAGGAAGAACAAGAATGCAGCAATCAACATCAGCCAAACAAGAGCAGAGAAAGTTAAGGCACATGCTGAATACAAAGAAGCAAACAGCAAGTAACGAAGAGCATCACAGTCGACAAACGAAATAATGTGGAGGATCTAGCATCGATGGCGGAAAAGGCTACAAGGGAAGGAAACATGAGACAATTGTACGATACAACAAAGAGGCTCTCCGGAAACCATCGGTAACCGAAACGACCAGTGAAAAGCAAGGAAGACAAAGTAATCAGCAGCATTTAAGAACAGCGAAATAGGTGAGTGGAGCACTTTAAGGAACTTTTGAATCAACCAGCTCCACTGAACCCACCCAATATCGAAGCGGCATCTACGGACCTCTTAACTGATGTTGGAGCACTTACAATTGAAGAGATCAGCATGGCCATCAGAAAAATCAAGAGCGGCAAATCAGCAGGACCAGACAACATTCCAGCAGAGGCAGTAAAATCAGACGTGGAAGCAACTGCAAAAGTATTTCACGTTCGCTTCAAGAAGATTTGGGATGAGGATCAAGTACCATCAGACCGGAAAGAAGAATTCCTCATCGAAATACCAAAGAAAGGCTATCTAAGTAAGTATGAGAACTATAGAGGCATCATTCTTCTCTCAATACCAGGCAAAGTCTTCAACAGGGTATTGTTAAACAGAATGAAAGACTTCTTAGACGTCTAAATTCGAGACCAGCAGCTTGGATTCTGTGTGGATCAGTCGAGTACTGACCAAATTGCTACATTACGGATCATTGTGGAACAATCACTTGGATGGTACTCACCATTCTACATCAGCGTCATTGACTACGAGAAATCATTCGATAGCGTGGATAGGAAAACACTATGGAGGCTTTTTCGACACTACGGTGTGCCTGAGGAGATAGTCAACATCATACGGAATTCTTATGATGGATTCAACTGCAGAATCGTGCACGGAGGACAGCTAACAAACTCGTTCGAGGTGAAGACCGGTGTCAGACAAGTTTGCTTACTCTCACTCTTTTTCCTTCTCCTGGTGATCGACTGGATTATGAAGACGTCGAAATCTGGAGGGAAGCAGGGTATTCAATGGATAGCTAGGATGCATCTGGATGATCAAGATTTCACAGATGACCTGGCTCTTCTATCTCACACGCAACACAAATGTAAGAGAAGACGACCAGTGTAGCAGCAGTCTCTGCAGCAGCAGGTCTCAACATACATAAATTTAAAAACAAGGTTCTCCGACACAACAAAATATGCGCCAACCAAATCAATCTTGATGGAGATGCCTTGGAGGACGTTAACACCTTTACATATCTTGGCAGCATCATCGACGAGAAAGGTGGATCCGATTCAGATGTGAGGGCGCAGATCGGCAAAGCAAGGGCTGCATTTCTACGAATGAAAAATATCTGGAGCTCCAAAAAGCAAATATCAATCAACACCAAAATCAGGATTTTCAATACAAATGTCAAGACAGTTCTACTGTATGGAGCAGAAACTTTTAGAACTACCGAAGCCATCATCTAGAAGATACAAGTGTTTACTAACAGTTGTCTTCGCAAAATACCTCGGATTCGTTGGCCAGACACCATCAACTACAACGTACTGTGGGAGAGAACAAACCAGATCCCACTGGAGGAGGAAATCAGGAAGAAGTGGTTGAAGTGGATAGGACACACATTACGAAAAGCACCAAACTGTGTCACAAGACAAGCTCTCACATGGAATCCTCAAGGCAAAAGGAAAAGAGGAAGGCCAAAGAATACATTAAGCCGAGAAATAGAGAAAGACATGATAAAAATGAACAAAAACTGGACAGAACTGGAGAGGGAAGCCCAGGACAGAGTTGGTAGGAGAAAACTGGTGGGTGGCCTATGCTTGATTCGGGGTAACAGGCATAAGTAAGTAAGTAACGTCTCATTTGGTGTTGTTTGATGAACATATAAGAAATTCTGTAAAGAGTCCGATGGTATCCCTTCCCCTTTTGACTTTTTCAATGCTCCTTTATTCGTATCCGAAAATACTTCTGCCTCCCCATTGGGGGTCTAACGTCCAGAACACATATTTAACTTAGTTAACTGTATAATAACTAAACGATTGGGTAGCTTATATAGCATAAAGTAACCTTAGTTTACAAATGAAAATGAGGAGAGATTGATTAGACTTCGAGATACAGTTCTCGGAATTCTAATGAATTCAACTTTGCCAATTGACTAACAACATCAGATTGTTGGTTGTCAAATGTCATAAGTTGATTAAAAGTAGAATTAAAAACCATTGAAAGCTAATTTAATGATTTGTAATTCGAAGGATTTGAGTTCTATGCCTGAATTGCCATCTGGTACATCTTTTTAACCAGTGGCAGCAAATATGAAACTTAGGTTTAAAGAATCTTGCCAACTGCTGCTAATCATCTTACATTACAACATAACATTTGAGATGTTAGATCACTTGAATTAATGACTACCTTGTAACTTGATCCATAAGGTTGATAGTTATCATCAAAGAAGTACACAGATACGATATCGATCACTTAATTTAAGTGTAACTAGTTAGACAAGAGATTAGTATTTTGACGAAATGCTTCCTTTTCAAAAATACAATCAGATTTTCTTAGTTTGTACCTCATTGACAATTTAACTAATAAGATATCTGTTTTGAATAGCAAATTAAAAATTAGGCAAGACTAAAATTTATGGACAACCTTAGAGAGACAATAAAGCGACCTTGACGAAACTTATCTACTTACTAGGGTTCAAAATGGACAATACAGTAGTGTTGTAGGATTCAAACTGAGGTTTGGATTGAGGAATAACGGTCTAGGTAGGTTTGATACGCGGTTCTACTATTCATCATAAATATGAATATACATCATTACCTAAACAAATATTGTCGCTCAGTTATTCCATCAACAATTGTTCAATTAGTCAAATTCACAGCAACAGATAACTGATATTATAAACCTCCTGGATAGATCTGATTCGTTCGACAAATAATATTTGGTTGCTTTATAACACAGACTGTTTCCAATTCTGCAAGAGTGCTTCGATTCACAATCAAAATGCACACTTCCAGTCCACGCAAGCAATCCAATCAAAAGAGGAATAAATTAATATGTCTGTCGCCAGGACTAAGTATCAGCTTAAACAACATAAATGCAGTTCAGAAAGAAACATAGAAACTCAGTAAAGGCAGAAGAAATAGAAACTATTATAAAAGACAAATATTATCATCTCAATTGGAATAGAACAGACTAAAAAAATGTACAACTAAAGGAGTCAATAAGAAAAAATTACAAATGTATACATGGAGAGATTTTCACAAATAAAGCCATCAAAAAATGAATCTTATAAGTGTGAAGAGTTAAAATTAATATTCAGAGTTAGAGATCAAGGTTAGGAATCAGAGTCAGGATATATATACATCGCGAATTGATATCAACATATCATGGCAACCACGTGGATCAATAAATTCCGCACCGAAATCCAAAATCTTTTCTGAGTGTTATTTAAGTCACGAACTGATATTAACCTATCATGGCGATATTCTGTTTAACCATGTGAATTAAAAAAATTTTGCCACGAAATTTTAAAATTTATCTTACATTTTATGGGCAAAAATTGATAGCTCAATATTTTTTGATCTTTTCAGTGTCATTAAAGCTACTAAAAACTTCGCCTAGGGTTCTTCTGAGGTTACTGCCGGTCCCAACCTCTTGATAAAGGAGTATGGTTGAGCATAGGGGGTTAGCGACCCAGTCTCGAAGAAAACCAGCTCACTAAAAATAACGCTAACAAGAAAAAAGTATCATACTTTTTAATAACCATTAAAATCAATGAAAATAATTTTAATCGAAATACTTTCCATCTGGCAGTCAATCTGTAATAACCTCAGCACCTCTTTTGTCATCATGTTGCAGTCTGTTCCTCAATGTGTTCAGGTTTCAATATTACCAAGAACAAAGTAATGGTAAACTTTGCATTGCTTGCGTTTGTATAATCTTGTTTTTTATGTGAACAATAAATAGGCCAACGTTCATTTACATAATGATTGCCAAGTTTTTACAAATGGATAAATGGAAAATATTTCAACTCTTGTTTAAGTTAGCCGTTTATTTTATTCAAGGTCACAGGAATAGAAGAAGACCATAAAACATATCACTCCGAAAAATGGAGACGGACACGAGAAGAATGAACAGCAGTTGGACAGAACTACAAAGGAAGGAAGGCTCAGGACAGAGTAAGTTGGAGAATGGTGATCGCTGACCTATGCTTCATTGTGGTTTAATAGGCGTAAGCAATCAATACGTAACTGTTAGAACCGGGGACAGTAATAGACACTTTCTAGCAACAAACAGTTGTGATAATAGTAAGCTGTTTCCTATTTCGAAATTGGTATTTTTTTGGATTAGTACATTTAGCTTACTTCTTTTAAAATAAAATTTGTAAATCAACGTTATTGTTAGCTATAATACTACTTAAACATGTGACTAAGATTATTGATCGATTAAAAATTGGAGATCAAGGTCATAGCCCTATGAACCAATCAAATTTTTTAAAAAGTCAATAGAATGATATTCAGCTGCTGTTAATCAGTAAATAATTAATTTCCCTTACCTCATAAATACAGTAGTTATTTTAAATTTTCTCAATTCATTTTGATTTGAATGCACTCAGTCGGTTTAAGTAAGTGTCACTTGAGTAGTATGTAGATTTCTTTTTTATTTGATAAGAATCTGATGACGGTTGAAAAATTATGGCCTTTGGAAAAAATCAGTTGACCAGCTGCTAGCTTAGCTATTTGTTATTTTCTGTTGACCTCATTTAAATATATATATATATATATATATATATATATATATATATATATATAACACAATAAATGATTTTATTATCAGAAATTAGGTCTAACATTTCTGATTGAATTGATCACATCAGTGAGTGTATTGATTTTGTGACAGAATGATGAAGGAGTAATCATAGATGAGAAAAATTATTGACAATTGATCAGTTCATTCAATAGATAATTAGGTTCTTATCTTAGGAATTTACAAATTCAACTTTGTCTAGTTGATTAGAAATATTATTAAGAGATAGTAATTGTCGAGTGTTATAAGTTGATTAAAGGTAGAAATACAGAGCAGCATTGAAATTTCACTTTGTTGTTTGTAGCTTAAGTGTTTCTAGTGTCTGTATGTGTGTGATTCGAAGGACTTGGGGTTTCCTGTCTAATGTATTGTCGTGGATGCAAATCATGGGGATTGTTTTATAATAGAAAGAGATAATCGGTTCTTAATAGTTGTTTATCTAACCACCGTCACATAAACCGGGTTCATATGACATGCGGAAACCTAGAGAGTCACATCGCGGACCACTAAATTAGTGATCGCTTCTTCGAATCTAACGCTGCCACTAAAATAATTAGCTGAAAGTCGAATTTAACTCAACCTACTGAAATAAGTCGACAAAGTAGCAATGCATCCGATGAATGAATCAACGTATCAGATTCAATGAACAGAGGAGACAACACATTCTCCCATCCAGCGTATGCAGAGAAGCTTGTTCAGCGATTAAATGCACACACTGAAATGGTCCGATCTTACTACTTAATTACATACGCCTGTTACCCCCAATGGAGAATAGGCCGCTCACCAGTTTCCTCCAACCAACTCTATCCTGGACTTCCCTTTCTAGTTCTTTCCAGTTTTTGTTCATTTTTCTCATGTCTTTCTCTATTTCTCGGAGTAATGTGTTCTTTGGCGTTCCTCTTTTCCTTTTGCCTTGAGGGTTCCATGTGAGGGCTTGTCTTGTGACACAGTTAGGTGCTTTTCGTAATGTTTGTCCTATCCACTTCGACCGTTTCTTCCTGATTTCCTCCTCCACTAGAATCTGGTTTGTTCTCTCCCACAGTACGTTGTAGTTGATGGTGTCTGACCAACGAATCCGAGGTATTTTGCGAAGACAACTGTTAGTAAACACTTGTATCTTCTGGATGTTGGCTTTCCTAGTTCTTCAAGTTTCCGCTTCACCGTCTTGACATTTGTATTTGTTTTTAATTCTAGAAATGCAGTCTTTTCTTTGCCGATCCGCGCCCTCACATCTGCATCCGATCCACCTTGGTTGTCGATGATGCTGCCCAGATATGTAAAAGTGTTAACGTCCTCCAAGGGAATTCCATCAAGATTGATTTGGATGGCGCATGTTGTGTTGTATCGGAGAACCTTGCTGTTGAGACCTGCTGCTGCTGAGGCTGCTGCTACACTGGTCGTCTTCTCTTACATTTGTTGTTGCGTGTGCGATAGAAGAGCCAGGTCATCTGCGAAGTCCAGATTGTCCAGCTGCAATTTCGCTTGGAATACTACATGCGCCAACCAAACCACTCTTGATTGAGATTCTTTGGAGGACGTTAACACCCTTACATATCTGGGCAGCATCATCGACAACCAAGGTGGATCCGATGCAGATATGAGAGCGCGGATCGACAAAGCAAGGGTTGCATTTCTACAGTTGAAATATATCTGGAACTCCAGCGACACTAAACACAGTCTCCATCATTTCAGTGAGAAGTTCGTCATCTACTAAACGCCTATAAATCCTGTTAGATAATAATTTCAAAAATGCATTCTGCAACATGTACGCTGATTTTGTAAATGTACTATTCTATTTATTCACAGCATCAACAGAAAAACACAAATTATCGATTAAAAAATATTTTTTAGTTTATCTACTCAAGGTTGTTTCCCGATTTTTGATTGTCATTAATCTTTATTTTCTGCTTATGAAGGAGTACTTTGTCAAACTGAATAAATGAACCAATCGAAACGAGAAAGTAAATGAAATAAAGTACAAAAGTGGTGCTCTGTACTTTTCTTTTCTTGTCTTCTAAATAAAGAAGAACAACTAACTCACAATTGAATCTTGAACAAAATTTGCACATTTCAAATTCACAACTTCATTCATTCATTCATTTAAACAATGGATTATTTGTATAATGAATTAAATAATTTACAATGTTTATCAATTAATGAATTGCCAAGATTAGAGAAATTAACTGAGAACAATTTAAGATATAAAACAGATATTGTTTTTACCACACCGGAATTATTAACTTTGCTAAGAAGATTATGTTATAAATTTGGTATCATTAAAGCAGCGCATCATTTTGCTGATCAAATGAAAAATAATCAATTAAATTTGAATTTCTCAAATTTAATCTCTCAAGGACATTGTTTATTAAAACAATTACATGATCAATTTTCAGTTCCGAATGTGACCAAAATTATTGGGACTAGTGTAAGTGATGAATAAGACAATTTGAAGTTCAATTTAATGTTTGAAATCATCGATCAATCATTGTTACACCACCATTAGAAACCTGAAAGCACTGGACGGCTGTGCGCATCCACGACTCATGCACCTCACAGGATTCGAACCCGGGACCTTCGGTATTGTCTGCGAACACTTAACCATCGGACCACTGGGCCGGCATCCAGCGGTGTTAATGTCTAACCCTGATGAGTCCCATATCAGGACGAAACTTCCGTCCAGTGCTCCCAGGTTTCTAATGGTGGTCTAACAATGATTGATTGATTGAATTTAAATGTGTAAAAAACACAAATCTCCAAAGCTCTAACTGAAGATATCAATTCAATGTGTTTTACTTGGACTATAGATAGATTATATTCATATAAAAATAGACTAAAGCTTTGACATTATTCACTTAGATTAGTAGTATTGCTTTTCAATTCTGCATGAAGTTATAACCAGCGTGTAATTACCACAGGTCTATGACAAGCAGAATATATCCGACAATATTTTCGGGATGAGTTTATCAGATAAAAAGTTATTCACAATGGCATACTGTACAACTCATTACTAGTGTCTATTTGATTATTTCGAATAGATTTAAAGATTTTCATGCAGTTCAATGGTACTTCATCGCAAATTGAAATTAGTTCGTGATCTTGATGAGCGACATGTAAGTGACCTTGAGAAAACTCGACTACTCAATAGCGTGTAAAGATATTTATAATCTGATGTGAGACATTAGAAAGGAGATTTAGAAGCCAGTGTTGATATTAGCCATAATACCAAAACGTTGTTTAGCTAGAAGCAAGCATGAATTTGATTCTACAAACCAGGATTCATTATCTTAAATCCGGTTGGTTTGTTCATAAATTATTATAGTTTCATGATGAGTCGGAATATAACTAAAGTAACAGTGAAAACAGAGATGTTATCTTAGGTTAATGTTTGTTAGTCTCTCAGATATAACGCAGAACTTCGTACACGTACGTACATCAGTTCAAACTTCCATACTACATTAGCACATAGACGCAACTGTCGGTTCAGATCCCATAGTGGTAGAGATAGTAGAAGTATTAGCAGTAATTGGAAAGTTTTGAGTTCGACGATATTATTCAAGAAGTATAATTCAATGAAATAAACTTAAAAAGAGAAACATAAAGGTCGTGAGTAGTTTAGATTAGAATTCTGGAGCACACAAAAAATAAATGCACCGGCGCCATTGTAAACGGTTCTGAGCCATGTCATTCAGGGTCTCTAACCATCGATTACTGTTGTCTCGCTGACTCCAGCCAGGAAAGGTTCATCTGCTAACATGGCTCAGTTCAATTGTCACTGAGTTTGTAGTGCCTCCACATATATTTCAGTTCTCTTACATCTAACTTGGTTAAGCCCTTTCGATTAATTTATTTAACCAAGCCATTTGTATAGCAACAACTCATATTTACCATTGTTATTTTTTATTATCTGCTTTTTATGAGCTTATACGACTGAGCATTGCTTACGCCTACGCGCTTACTCATCCTTTTCGCTTTAATGTTAATCGCTTAATTTTCCCATGAACTCACATGATTTGTATCGCTTGCATTTGACCTTGTCAATCATTCGTTGCTTTTATTCATGTGTGTGCATATCTATTTCGCTTGTCATATGTCTGTCTTATTCTTATCTGACTATATATTCTTAGTCATAATCTATCTCTTTGAGTTGGCTCAACAGCCTTCTCCTATTCGCTTCTCCTCTTCGCTCATTCGCATATTCACATATTCGCTCGCTAGTGTATCTGCTCAGTCTGTATGTGGTGTGCCTCGAATAAATGTATACGATACTTGGAGTTTATCTTCTGATTTATAAAACGGAGCTATAAGAACACGCAGTTATAGGCACACTACAAGTTCATAGATTTGTGCTGTTTTGGTTTGACCGTCCCTCATCTTTCCTAGGTTGATATTTGTAAGCTGAATTCCATGTATGATCCTAGCACCACTGAAAAAAATTAATAAATCGTGCAAAATAATCTTGACTAACTAAAAAAACGAAAGGATAAAATTGTATGTTGATCATAATGCAAACCCCACAATGAATTTTCACTGATTTCAGAAAAATGTCAACATGACATGAATTATGCGTTTAAAGTATATTTCCTCTTCCATTTGAAATCAAGAATCTAGCATTGTTATACCACCATTGGAAACCTGGAACCACCTAGTGAGGGTCTGTTTCGTCATAGTATAGGACTCTTCAATAGCGTGCACCTACGACTCACGGGAATCGAACTTTATACAATTTAAGGTATTGCACACAATCTCACTCATTGTCTTCCATTGTTAATGTCTTCACCTAACAAGGTTGAACTGCAGTGGATGCACACTGCTGATGAGTTGTCGCATACGATGAAAACAAAACGATCGTCTTTCAAAATGCTCCCAAGTTTCTTTCTAATGGTAATCTGACAATGATTCATTCATAATTCCAAAATGAATATTCCTATTTCATTCTTTATTATTAGATTGTATCGGAATTAGAGAAAATTTATGAAAAATTTGTCAGTTATGAAAATCAGTTGAATGTATTCTATGAAATGGCTTGTAAACAAATTGAAAAGACCAATATTCGATTGAATGTGACACAACCATCCACTGCTACTTATCTAACTAATTTAAACTATATTGATTTGAACATGGATGGACAAGTAAGTAATTGAAAGAAATAATAATACAAGAATGTTATTTGTGGGTTGAACATTGAATGTTCCTGTGAATTATTTTTTTCTCATCATGTTTTACACATCAGTTGAGTGGATCTTTTCACCTAAAACAGTATTCATAGAAATCTGGTTGGGAAATGTGTTACGGTATGCCTAACCACCGACTGCCTTGTTGAGCTTTGTTTTATGATGTAGGAGTTGGTTGGAAGAAAGCTAGGGGTGGCCAAGACAGAACATGGCAGAAATGCATGAAGTCACTGACAAGTGGACTGAGTCATGTTGGTAGATATGGGCGACCTGGTTTGAGCCCGCCAGATAATAGTAATCGATGGTTAGATATCCTGAATGACATGGATTAAAACCGATCACAATGGCGCAGGTACACTCATTCTTCCTGTTCTCTCAAACTCTGACCTTCGGAGTTCCTCATCACCTTAATCTTTTTCTTTTTAAGTTTGTTTCACTAGATTCTACTTCCTGAATAACATCTTCGGACCCTAATCTCTCCGATTACTGCTAATACTTTTGCTACGTCCACTACTTTGGGATTTGAATTGACAATTATATCTCTGTGTTAATGTGTTATGACAACTTGAACGGATGTACTAACGTACATACGAAGTTTTACGTTGCTGTTGATCGATTGGTTGATAAACCTGAAAGCTCTGAACTACTATTTTGTCCTAATGTATGGAACTCCTTAGCAACGCATATCTATGATCTGTGCATGTAGGAATCGAACTGAGTGAGTTTTTTATTCTTCTCTAAGCGAATCCTCAACCTCTAAACCACTAGAGTCACAGCATTTGATAGTGTTGATTCATGTCCAACTTCAGTTTAAATATTCACCATGAACAATAGTGTTATATATATATTTTTTTATCTAGTGAAAGACTAGGCACTCAGTCAGTCAGTTAGTTAGAACTTCGAAACTTTTCTCTCTTGTTTGTTTAATGAATTGGATGGTATCGTCTTCATTTCTACACAAACTGGTTGACTGAAAGATAAATCGACTAGCTTCTTGAGGAAATCCTCAGAGTTCAGAAGACGTGACCAATGGAGTTCAACCCTGTCGGGTGTAGGCAGTAACTACTGAATACAAGTGGGTAAGGTTGCGCAAAATCTCTAGATTGGTCACAGTTAGATACTAACACCGGTGGATGCCGGCGCAGTGGTCGAGAGGTGAGGCGTTCACGAACAAGACCAAAAGTCCTGGGTTCGAATCCTGCGAGGTGCAGGAGTCGTGGATGCGCACTGTTGATGATTCTCACACCAGGACGAAACGGTCATCCAGTGCTTCCAGGTTTCTAGTGGTGGTCTAACAATGATTGATTGACTGATTGTGTAGAAACACTTATCTCCATAACTCTTGTTTAAGTTATGGAATGAAAATTACGTAACAAGTATATGTCATGAAGTTTGTCAGCGAGTTCCTCTTCTTCAATAAAACATCAGCAGAATTAGTCGGACTCATCTTCACGATCTCTCATAAAACCAGTCAGTCAGTTGTAACGTAGAACTTAGTACGTATGTACATAAGTTCATGTTGCCATACCACATTAGCACAGAGACGCGAATCTCAAATCAAATCCCATAGTGATAAAGATAGTAGAGGTATTAATGGTAATGAAGAAGACTAGGGTTTGAAGATTTTATTCAAGAAGTATAATTAAGTGAAATAAGGTTGGAAAGACAAAGGTAGAGGTGCTGACGATTCAAGAAGATTATGATTTGAGAGAGCTCAAAGAATGGCTTCACTTGCGCCATTGCAAACGATTTTGAGCTATGTCATTCAAGGTCGCTAACCATTGGTGACTTTCGTCTCGCGGACCCCAACCAGGTAGTCTACATCTACCAACATACCTCAGTCCACTTGTCAGCGACTTCATGAATTTCTGCCACCCCTAGCTTTCTTCCAATCTACTCCTACACCACAAAACATAGCTAGGCAGTCGGTGTTTAGGCATTCGTAACACATGTCCCAACCACCTCAACTGATGAAGTTTCAATACTTCATCTATTGATCTGCCATCCTTACCTAGCACCCGTTTCCTAACGACAGTATCGCTTACTCGGTTGTCCCACGGTATACGAGCAATGCTTCTTAAACATCTATGATCGAATACTAGTAACCTACGAACATCTTCTACTCTTAACGGCCATGTTTCGCATCCATATAGGAGAACGGAGCAAACTGCTGCGCAGTACACCCGTCCTTTGTTTAGCGAACCGACATCTCGCCTACGCCATAAGCGACGAAGGTTGTCAAAAGCCAATCGAGCTTTCTGTATCCGTGCTGAGATTTCGTCAGTCACCAGGCTATCAGCGCTGATGAGACTCCCCAGATAAGTGAAGCTATCAACACTCTCGACTACTTCACTCCCTATCACTAGTTCAGGTGCCGATGAAACCCAATCTTGAAGCAACATTTTGCATTTCGAGGGTGAGAACCGCATCCCGAACATGCTTGCATTGTTGCTCAAGGTAGTCTCATAAAATAATACTTTTCAAAATCTGCAATGTATTAAGTAGTTATATTATTACATAATTTCTTTAACTATAAACGTGTTCCTTAGTTTAAGTTTCAAAATAAAAGTATTTTCCTTGTGTACTTTTAAAAAACTAGAATTTATGATAAAACGTGGTTTTGAATTTCATTTCTACAAATAAATAAGGAGAAATTATAAAGTACATTGAACCACTATTTTTTTTATTCAGTGCACTTTCTACTGTGCTGATTCGAAGTTTTGAGAATCCCTTAACGTATCGATCACGTGAAAATGCTATTATAGTGAGTGTTACTTATAAAAGAGCCTGTAAGTAGTATGCAACTGAGCGTCACTCAGAAGTTGCAACCTCAGAAAGAAAGAGAGAGATAGAGAGGAGTGTTTAGATATCGAAATGCATCCACTGTACGACCAGATTATTTATTACGAAGACTGGAGAAGAGATGTGAGAGAAGAAAATCAATTGGTTGTTTGTGCTTTTATGGGTATGCGGGGAGATGTAACTTCCCAGCTACCCACACCGTGGAACGGTTTTGGCTGTCAAAAGGGGTATCGACCTCATGACTTCCGAAGGAACTCGGTTTTCATTATGAGAGGGCATAACTCTTCTAAATGAAGAAAATTCATCAGTTGAGGTGGTTGGGACATCTGTTACGTATGCTAAGCCACCGACTGCCTAGACGAGCGATGTTATCTGATGTAAGGAGAGGCTGGAATAATCGTAGGGGTGGCCCACTCAAAATATGGCACAAATCCGTGAGGTCACCGGCAACTAGACTGCGTCATGTGAGCAGGTGTAGGCTACCTGGTTAGGGACCGCCAGATGATAGTAGTCACTGGTTAGATATCCTGAGTGACATGTTGAGATGGTGGAGAAAACTTGTAGCTCAGGTGGATGATTGTGGTGGTGTTTCGTTCTCTGAGCTGGTTGTTTTGGTTGTGAAGCTTTCATTGTTCTTCTGAACAACATCATCAGCACAAACTTCAGATAGAAGTAAGGCATTTGAATTTCTCCACGTTTGACCTGTAGCTTGTTCTGCTAACCTCGATCTTGATTGGTTGCTGTTGACTTTTGACCTGTCGTTGTTTGCAACTTTGTTTCGATTTCACCCCCCTTTTGATCTGTTTCTTGATCCAGTGTCACCTGTGATTTTTCTGATTGGTTGATGAATTGAGTCAGTTCGATGTGTTTGTTGATTGCTGATTGGCCTGAGTGTCAAGCTTCTAAAAATTCTCTAGTCTTCTTTGTCCTCCCCCTATCCAGTATTTCCTCATTGTTCCAATCAAATGTGTGTCCATAGTTGTCGGTATGTATTGAGATAAGCGAAGCGTTGTCGTGGCGTTTGACTGCTAATTGATGTTCACGTAAACGGAGCTGAAGAGGCCGTCCACTTTGTCCTATGTAGTGTTTTTCACAGTTTGAGCAATTTATTTTGTAGATGATATTTGGTTTTTCTTCCTTTGTCATTTTGTCCTTTGGTCTACATAGGATTGATTGAAATGATTCTGTTGGTTTATGTGCTACACCTATTCCAAATGGTTTCAGTAGTCGTGCTGTATGCTCCGATATGTCTTTGATGTATGGTAGGATGATGCGTTTATTTGTTTCTGTGCTTGATATCGCTTCTGATGATGTTTTTTGATGAAGTTGCGTGGATGGTCATTCTTTTGGAAGATAGTCATCGGGTGTTTTTCCTCGTTTTTAATGCTTCGTATGTGCTTCAGTGTGTCTTCGCTCTCTTGAACAAAGTTTGTATGCAGTTGATCTTGTGGGTTCTTGCTGTCGTAGTTGAGAATTACGTCTGTGTGGGTTGGCTTCCGATATACTTGAGTTTCTAGTTTTTCTGTGTTAGTTCTGGTGATTAGTACATCCAGGAATGATAGGCTGTTGTTTGATTCCATTTCCATCGTGAATTTGATGTCATCGAAGACGTTGTTGATCCGATTGTAGTGACATGTCTCAAAACTGTCTGCAATGGCGCAGGTTCATATAATCGTTGTGTTCTCTCAAATCCTAACTTTCAGGGCACCTCATCACTTTTATCATTTTCTTTTTAAATTAATTTCACTAGATTCTACTACTTGAATAATATCTTCGAACCCTAATCTTCTCCATTAGTGCTAATACTTTTACTATCTTTACTACTAAGGGATTCAAATGGACAATCACATCTCTGTGCTAATGTGATATGGCAACTTGAACTGATGTGCTTACGTATGAAGTTCTACGTTGCTTTTGACCGATGAACTCTGAGATGTAGCTGACTATAAGCACATAAAAAGAGACGTGCATCTTGAATTCCATCACTAGCCATCTGTACAGCCTCTGCTAATTAATAATGCTTGTAATGTAAAGACATTCCGTACAGAATGCGCATGTACCAAAGAAACTGATCGATTGTAAGCATCAATGCGAAGATTCAAAAACAACTAATACAACAAATGAATTAATCTATCAGGTTTCTTTTTAAAGCCAAGGAATAAATAATTTGATTGCAAACCTTTTTGTTTATTTAATTTGAATCCTTGTAACTTTTTCAATGTGTAATGGATGAATTTGAATACAATTAATTATAAGGAGAGAATGTAAAACAATTGATCATTGAACAGATAATCGAATAACCATTAACATTCTCATGAATGAGTTACATACTCGGTAATTTACTTAAATAGGTCCTGGATTTTTCTTTCAAAGTGATCATATGTATTCAATGCTGACAGATTGAACATTGGAATCCTGAACTGTTCAATGTTAGATCACTATTGAAACCATGAGAAATGCACTGGATGGTTGTTTCATACTAGTATTGCACATCCACGACCTCTCAGGCGAGAATCGAACTCATGATGTTCAGTTGAAAAGTGACCATTTAGTGCTTCCACTGTTGATCTCACTAGGAACATTGACCAGTTCATAGTAGAATGACACTCAACAATCGCTGCAATCCTCATAACCGATGTTTAGGTGTTCGCGCACAATACCGAAGGTCCTGGGTTCGAATCCTGTGGAATGCAGGAGTCGTGAATGCGCACTGCCAATGATGAGTCCCATACCAGGACGAAACGGCCGTGCAGTGCTTCCAGGTTTCTAATGGTGGTCTAACATTGATCGATTCATGATTTTAAAAATGTGTAAATATAGATAACATTCTCTCTCTTTCACCAACTATCTTTTATTGATACAATTTCGCTGTACGCTGCTTACACACAAACAGAGTTACAATATTATTTGATTTGTATAATTTTCTAGGACTATGATTTCATTAATCAAGGAACACGAGCTCGAATTGCACCACGATTTAATATTCCTAATTATGATCAATTAACTTGTGATGATGTATTTAATCAATCAAATAAAATTTATGAAACAAACAAGAATGATGATTTTGTTACACGACGTCAACCAACTATTCAGGTAAAATTAATTCATTCAACTCTTTCATGATATCATCCATTGATCTAATCAATCCCTTCCAAATTATTTCTTAAGTATGTACAAAATTGAATGAATGTATTTCATTTGTAGCTATCTATCTATATCTGTAGATCAATGAAACAACGGTGTGATATTGTGTTACGAATGCAGATCACCATGTCAATTGATATGATTGAACCATTATTACGGCTTCAGCTTAGTTGATAAACCAAAGCGGGGACCGATGATTAGGCGACACGATAGGCTACTGTAATCCGAGTGTCCCAAACCCCTATTAAATAGAAGAAGTCTTGATATGAAGTAGAAAGTGTATTTTACAAGAACCCAGAAAGTACGCGGTCCCGGTCCAGAAGAGGATAGGGATGCTGATCATAAGACGTTACAGACAATGCACATTTATACAGTCGGGTAGAAGAGGAAACAACATTTTGAAGTATGCGACATTGATAGTTAGGACAACCAATAGTATCAGACTTATAAACAATTACCTTAGGATATTTGATGAATATCCTAACCGATATCGAGTAGAAATAGCTGTAATTAAAGAGTCGATTAGTTATAAACAACATAGATAGATCTCGACATGTATATGTGCGTTATGGACTACAATCAGATGGATAGTCTGCATTTATCAACACTGTGTTATCTAGTTCCGATAGGACAAACGTATATATTACCCAAGATCAATTTGTCGATGGAAGTTTCCAAGTTATTCATTCCAAAGTCAGCGTACAGTTGTATACACTATGGCATTTGAATTAGACGTAGTGGTGCGTTATCATTTTTGAGCTTAGTAATCGACAATGTTAACTCTAAAGATCTTTATTTCAACTGATTTTAAGATTAGGGATGCGATAAGTGAGAAATATCAAGTTCGGACGAAACCGTTGTAGAGTGAGTGAGTTATGGTTTTCAATGTTGCTTCAGATGATGTTAGCTGGTGAGTTACAACTAGTTTTAAATCTTATTTCTGCTGTTAGAGTTCAGACCATACAGATTTGTTTTTGATATTTGAGATTGTCTCAATATAAACATTCGGTTGATGAACTACTGTAGATCGGCTATTATGCACATTCTACTAGACTCAACATGAAATATGGGATTTATTAATCACTGCAGAATTTTTAAGAAATATGAATGAGAGAGCAGCAAGTTAGTTGATAGCTGAAATGACCTCATACAATGCAAACCATATATTCGACATTTGTTGATCCTTATGTGACTATCTACTCTTTACTATTTTAGTAGTATAAAATATCTAACTTAAATTAATTATTCTATTCATTTTCTAATTGCCACTTCTCTCTTCATCTCAAATAAAAAATTTTCAAGGAACGAGCAGGAATATGTACCAAATTTCCTGGTGAATCAGAGACTCATTCAGCATATATAAAACCAAATCGTTGTGTATCGGAAGTTTTAACAAATCACGGTCAATCACGTGTGTGTAAACCAGGCTATCGAGTGAATCCACAACCAGATATTAAACTAGACGGTTACGGTCCAGTTGAACGGCGTGCATTGAACGAAGTAGAACAGACAGAGTATCAAGGTGAATATCTTTGGCCAGATGGTAGGAAGATACACACATCTCCATGGGATAGATCACGTGAATTCAATTGTTTGTAATTAATAATTTTGTGCTGAATTCATGAATAGAATTATCATAAACAATAAAAATATATAAATATTATACGACCGATTTCAGATTAACATTATTTAGTTTATTTAAAATTTACTGAATAAATGAATTTATTCATCCATATTTCGCTTTTTTCTGAAAATAAACCACTACTATGTAAATCGAATAGAGTTCGACGTAGAGCCTTCCCGTAGTTACTACATAGTGACATATACCTACGAACAACTACATTGATGACGTTAAAGATAAATTTCAAGAAAGGCTGCAATCAATCGTCGACAGATGTTCATCAAGTGATTTGAGGTACATGGAACGTTCGAACATTGTGGGAGACTGGAAAATTATTTCTAGTTGCTGCAGAAATGAGATACAACCTGGAGGTGCTTGGAATCAGCGAAACGCATTGTATACAGGTAGGGTAACTGAGACTAGCTCGAGCAGAACTGGTGTTATACTCTGGTCATGAGGAGGAAAATGCTTCACATACACAAGGAGTTGCACTTGTAGTGTGTCGTTTTACTGCATGTTCTTAAGCTCGGGAATTAGCTCGTCCAGACAGTCGTTACTAAGTAGCGTCTGAGGGTTTAGAAATCAGGTGATCTCGTATTGATGAATACGTTTATTGGGACACACCACGAAGCGAACCGGAGAAGCAATGTAGAGAAAGCTAATGAGCTAACTCCCAGGATTACAATGCTAACGAATGGGCGAAGCGCGTTGGAGAAGGCTAATGAGCCAACTCATAGAGATAGAGAGTGACTAAGAATATATAGTCAGACAAATATAAGACAGACATGTGACAAGCGAAATAGGCACACATGAACAAAAACGACGAATGGTTGACAAGGTCAAATGACAAGTGGGACACGTCATGTCAGCTCATACAAACCAGACTATAATAAGAACGAATGGTACATATAAATTGTTGCAATAGAAATGGCTCGGTTGAATAAATCAATCTAAAGGGCCAAATTAAATGTAAGCGAACTCGAATATATATGTGGAGGCACTACACACTGATGCTGTCCAAACAAGCACAAAAGGCATTGATAGGATGGGAATCTCATGGACCCAGGATCATTAAGGCATCCTTCAAAACAAATAAAGACGACATTACAATGAACGTCATCCAATGATCTGCACCTATCAACGACTACAATGAAGATCAATTCCACGAAAGGCTGCAGTCAATCACCGACAGATGCTCAACGAAGGATTTGACCATTCTAATGGGAGACCTAAATGCCAAGGTTGGCATAGACAACACCCGATATGAAGACATCATGGGACGACATGGACTGGGAGAAAGGAACGAAAACGGTGAGAGATTTGCAAACCTATGTGCCTACAACAAACTGGTCATCGGTGGCACAATATTCCCGCACAAACGCATACAAAAGGCACATGGATTTCACCGGACAACACTACTCAGTTCCAAATCGACCATATATGTATCAACAAAAAGTTCAGAAGCACCATGAAGGATGTTAGAACCAAGAGAGGAGCTGATATAGCTTCAGATCACCATTTGCTGGTCGCTAAAATAAAACGGAAACTCAAGAAATACTGGACGAAGGGGCAGACAACATCACACAGGTTTAATACGGCCTTTCTTCAGGATACCGTAAAACTCAACGAATTCCAGAGAGCCCTCACCAATAGGTTTCAGGCCATGCACAATGGGGAGGAAACAACTTAGGAGAACTATTGGAAAGGGACCAAAGGGGCAATCATTTCAACATGTCACGAGGTTCTGAGCCACAGGAAGTACCATCAAAAGGAATGGATCTCTGTTGGTACTCTTGGATAACTTGAAGAAAGGAGGAACAAGAAAATATTTCACATTCTCTTCAACAATATTTGGGATAAAGAACAAGTACCAACACACTGGAAAGAAGGATACCTCATCAAAATACCAAAGAAAGGAGATGTCATCAAGTTTGAGAACTACAGAGACATCACAAATCTCTCAATACCCGGCAGTCTTCAACACGGTATTGTTAAACAAAATGAAGGACTTCGCAAACGCACAACTTCGAGATCAACAGCTTGGATTACGTGAGGATCAATAGTGTGCTGACAAAATCACAACATTTCGGATCATTGTGGAACAATCAATAGAATGGAATTTACCACTCTACGTCAACTTCATCGACTACGAGAAAGCATTCGATAGCGTGGATAGGAAAACGCTGTGGAGACTTCTTCGACAATACGGTGTGCCTGAGGAGATAGTCAACATCATACGGAATTCTTATGATGGGTTAAACTGAAAAATCGTGTGCGGAGGACAGCTGACTGACTCGTTCGAGGTGAAGACCCTTTCTCTTTCTCCAGATAACCGACTGGATTATGAAGGCGTCAATATCTGGAGAAAAGCACAGTATCCAAAGGATAGCTAGTCAGTCAGTCAGTTGCAACGTAGAACTTCGTACATAAGTTCATGTTGCCATACCACATTAGCACAGAGACGCAAATGTCAATGGATAGCTAGGTGGCAGCTAGACGATCTGGACTTCGCAGATGATCCGGATCTTCCATCGTACACACAAAAACAAATGCAATAGAAGACGACCGGTGTAGTAGCAGCCTCAGGTCTCAACATACATTAAGGGAAAAGCAAGGTTCTCCGATACAACACAACATGCACCAACCAAATCACTCTTGATGGAGATGCCTTGGAGGACGTTAACATCTTTACATATATGGGCAGCATCATCGAAAATCAAGGCGGATCCGATGCAGATCTGAGGGCTGCATTTTTACAAGTGAAAAATATCTGGAACTCCAAACAACTATCAACCAACACTAAAATCAGAATTTTCAACACAAACGCCAGGATAAAAGTATTCATTAACAGTTGTCTGCACAAAATAATTCGGATTCGTTGGCCCGACACCATCAGCAACAACCTACTATGGGAGAGAACAAACCAGATTCCAGAAGAGGAAATCAGGAAGAACCACTAGAAGTGGATAGGAAGCACCTAATTGCGTCACAAGACAAACCCTCAAGGGAAAAGAGGAAGGCCAAAAAACACGACACGTAGAGAAATCGAGAAAGAAGTATGAACAAAAATTGGACAGAACTGGGGAGGGAAGCACAGGACAGAGCAAGTTGGGGAATACTGGTCGGCGGCCTATGCTCTATTGGGGGAAAAAGGCGTAAGTAAGTAAGTAGGTACATTATGTAATCAGGATGATTGAATCTGATGTATTGAAATGATGGCTATGTGTTTCATATTCTCAAGAACACTCATAATTCTTCCTCCTATGAATAAATAAAAAAACGTGTGTTTTTCACCGTTTTGTCGCTAGGATGTAATTTCAACAACACGCACTCGCCAATGATCTACCTGGAGCCCCTCTGGGGTCACTGCCAGTCCCAAGCCCGGATAAAGGAGGACAGTTGTCGACCATGCCCTGTAGAAAAATAACTCGCTTAAAAAAAAACGCTGACAAGAAAAAATAAGTCAAACCATCTAAACTCTGCCCAGAGAGTTGGAAGATGTTCGTTTAGAAGAGTTACAACGCGCTTCATGATGAAAGCCGAATTCTTTTGGAAGTCATGAGGGTGCTGCTCATTTTATCTTTTTTTAAATTGAGCAGCCAAGTTATTATGTAAATTGACAGACAGACAGATACAACGCAGAACTTCGTACGTAAGTACATCAGTTCAGGTTGCCATGCCCCATCAGAAAAGAGACGCAACTGTTAGTTCAAATCCAAGAGTAATAGCAATAATAGAAGATTAGAGAGCGAAGATATGATTCGAAAATATAATTCAGTAAAATAAATTTAGAAGGAGAAAGGTAGAGATTATGAGGAATTCAGAAGGTTAGAATTAGAGAGAACACAAAGAGTGGATGCACCTGCGCCACTGCAAACGATTCTGAGTCATGCCATTCAAGGTCTCTAACCATCGGTGACTTTCGTCTTGCGGACCCCAAACAGGTAGTCTACATCTACCAACATGACTCAGTCCACTTGTCAGTGACTTCATGGATTTCTGCCATGTTTTGGTCTGGTCGCCCCTAAATTTCTTTCAACCTACTCCTACACCACAAAACATAGCTCGTCGAGGCAGTCGGTGGTTAGCCATACGTAACACATGTCCCAACCAACTCAACTGATGAAGTTTCACTACTTCATCTATTGATTTGTCATCCCTACCTAGAACTCGTTTCCTAACGACAGCATTGCTTATACGGTTGTCCCAGGATACACGAGCAATGCTTCGGAGACACCTACGAAAGTCCTCTACTATTAACGACCAAGTCTCGCGTCCGTACAGTAGGACGGATGTGGTCTATACAACCACATCCAGGTCGAAAACCAGCTTGGTTTTCTCTGGTCTGCTCTTCATGAGCACTAGTAAGGAGTCTAAGTATAATGGAGGCTAACAATTTAGGAACTATTTTAGTTAGACTGATAAAGTTTCTAAATTAATAAATGTAAATTGATAAAATAATAACTATTTATAGCTGACATTACAACACAGGATGAATTTCAATTTATTTCTAAGAGTATTTATTACAAAATCAGATTATTTACATTCGTGTCCAATGATCAATTGACAATTTTACGTAAAACGAATAATTATGTACAGTGTACACTAATAAACAATATTTTGAGTTCATCTGATTAGAAAAAAATTACATACACATAATATCAGTATACATATGTACATTGCGTAATCAAGAAAAAAGAAACTTTACAAATCATAATCTTGAAATTATTATTTTACATATCTTCTACAGCCCATCGTTGGGCTATTTCACGTTCAACTCGTCGACGTGTTTGTTCTTCAACTATTTTCTTTTCAAAACCATTACTACGATCTACACCATCCCAACGAAAACCAGGCCATATATTATAACGATTTGGAGGTGGTTCAGGACCTTTGTAACGTGGTCGAGAATCTGCTTCATCATCGGATTGTGATGAAGATGAAGTGTTGGAATGAGATGATCCTGTGGACAACCCATAAACAAAACGGTACGGTGTGTATGAAAATGCTAAAATATGAATAAACTGATACCAACAACGTACATGGACAAGATATGGACATATTTCACAGAACCAGTTGTCGAAATGATTATCAATCTTTAAAGAATCTTAAATTTTATCGACCAGTGGATGGAATTTTTTGCCTAACATAAAGCAGAACCTGAATATTTATGCGTCATACTAATCAATGAATATGTATGTGAAGTGGGATACTGTCCAAACAGAAGCTGATGGTATTTTTAGAGAGCCATTCTCCCAGAGCGTTTGAACAACAAGTCCATTCCAGTGGACAGTAAAGCGACGTTAAGAAATGCAGTCACATGGTAACCCATGACCAACAATGCGTTCATGGGCTATTTGTTCCCTAAGGATCCTGAAGCCCATATGCACCATAGGTTTGGAATGAGGATTTCATAACTTACCTAGATGGCTTTTTCCTATCTACAAACCCCGTTTGAGCAACAGACACTCGCTTTCCGTCCTTCCAATTTCATACGCAAAACCCCCACCTCTTTGACAATGACTATACATACACGTGGTCACATAAGAGCAGTTGGAGATAAGGCGAGTCTATTGCGCAGCAGTTCGCTCTTTCCTACGTTATGGGTGTGAAACATGGCCAGAACGAGTAGAGGATATCCGTGGGTTACTGGTTTTCGATCATAGGTGTCTTCGAAGCACTGTTGGAATATCTTGCGACCATCAAGTGAAAAGGGTATTAGGTAAGCATGGCAGATCATCGGTTGAGGTGGTTGGGACATATGTTGCGTATGTCCAACCACCGACTACCTAGACGAGCGATGTTATCTGACGTACAGAGAGGCTGGAAGAATTGTCGGAGCGGCCATATCAACACGGCACAAATCCATGAAGTCACTCACAACTGGACTGACCCATGTGAATAGGTGTAGACTACCTGGTTGGGGTCAGCGAGACAATTGTAACCAGTGGTTAGAGACTTTGAATGATGTGACTTAAAATCGTTTGCAATAACGCAGGTACATTCATTTTTTGTCTTCTCTCAAATCCTAATCATCTGGATTCTACATCACCTTTATCCTTTTCTTTTTAAGTTTATTTCACTGGATTATACTTCTGGAATCATATCTTCGAACCCTAATAATCTCTATTACCCCTAATACTTCAATTACCTCTTCTACTATGGGATTTGAATTGAAAATTGCATCTCACTGTGCTAATGTGGCATCGCAACTTGAAATGACGTACGAAGTTCTGCGTTGTAGCTGACTGACTGATTTGAAGGTAGGTAGTGAACTCTTCACATCCTCGGTCGTACCAATGTACAGGCACAAACTCTACTTATACATTTATACACTAGAATTTACAAACAAGCCACACATTTTCCTGATAGGCTCACAGAACAAGGCAAGTAGGCCATTTAGAAGAACCCCGTAAGTATGCTACAGATTAATGTCTAACTGAATAACATTATTTCAAGTTTCAGTGCACGATAAACATACATACTACACCATACTAATGTGTTTAGTCTAATTGGATAATTATTCAGTAACTAGGATCCTGTATGCGCGTTTCCGAGACGCAGCATGCATCGATTGAGCGAGATTCTTATGTTCTAGCTAAGGAAGCCTGTTGCCCTATTTGACACATTAAATGCTCCAACAAGTAATTTAGAACGAGGTTTCAGGAGACCAGGAATAATGTTTCATGAACTCGCATCGTTTGTATTAGCTGTGCAGTGTGATAAAGGGATGTGAGAAGAGTTAGTCGTAGAGATAAGAGAGGTATGTGTGGTTGTAGGAAGGATTTGATTATGACCGATTTGGTCACGCGTGCTGTTACGGGTATGAGGGCGGTTGTCACTTCCCGGTCGCCCACACAGTGGAAGGTTGTTCCTTGAGGAACATGAAAAGGAAAGTAGATTAGTGTCAGTCTTAACGACCTGTACAACTGCTTGAGGCCGGTTACCCACGAATACTCATGTGTCCTAACCGTGTATCACAATTATAATCTCTGAATCTATGTTCCTAGTAATTTTTTATATACAAATAATTAATTATCATTTACAATGCCAAATGATATTTTGTATCAGAAAACTCAAGACCTCAGCAATTTTTGTGTCATCTTTCCCTTATATCATTTGACTCCTTTGATGTCTATCTTGTGAATAAAACGAAAAATATATATTTTCTCCTTCACTTATTTTCCGATGTAGAAAAACATGAATCAGTTCACAATCATAAGTTATAATAATAATATCATTATTTATAATATTTTTAATTTACCTAGAAATAAAAAGCATCGTTCAGGAGGAATGCCAATTTTCAGATAACATATTTCTTTCAAAACGGTTTGCGGTCACTGAAATTGCTCGTAAGATACAATTTCTTCATTTGGATAGTTTACATTTAACAACACGAATAATTGGCATGTGTATCAACGGTTGCCTTACAAGCTTACTAATGACCGTGAAACAATGCCAGATAAAATCATGCCTGCATTAACAAGAATTGATGGGGTAAGCGTGCCAAGAACTGAATAGTAAATGAAAAGGCTTTTGGGTGAAGTAACCAAGCCTTCGGAAAATATCTGGACCAATACAAATGTATTGGAATAATGTCTTAAAAAAGAGGAATAAAAGAGAATGCGGAATGGAGCAGAATAGAAAATATTCTTGTTCGAAGACCAACAGTGACTCGGCACATACGTTTCTGAAAAGAACAAAAATTTGTTTATTCAGAATTTCGTTCATTAGAACTGTACTCTTGCGTTTATATAATAATAAATAAATATAATAAATAAATAATCATATTTATTACAGCGGTTTCGGAATAACCAAATTTTTAGCACTATTATTGATTTTCAGAATATAATATTGGGGATCAGTAATCTTATGCTTTTATTCTATTTTATTTATTGAGAAAGGGACGACCAAGAAAAATTAAATCATTCATTGAAAACAGCAACAGCCGAATGTTGAAAATTTACAATGCATTGATGATGTTTCATCAGATGAGAAGACGGTAACTTTTAATATTGGATGGATATTCGCTCAAGTCATTAGTATGAAGATAAGTGGTTCTATGACCTCAACTCGTAAAACTGACCATAACCAGCGAGAAACAGTGTATCATGGTTCAGATATTGTGTTGATGAAATTAACTGAACTTGCTCTTACACATCTGTGGTGCGGACTGCCACAGACAAGTTTCCGATAACATCCGACAATCCTTCAGATGCTCTCTCTCACTAATGTGATCGTATCTAACAGAAGGACTTAATTGACCACTACACAATTTGAAAATTTCCGTCAACGGATACTTATCAAATAAATGCGCTTGCCGTCATATCACCGGCAACCTAATGCGCAAGCCCAAACGTTTGTGGTTAGGTTTGAGAGATAAAAGACCAAGTCAAAAAGAGTGAGGACACCGGCCAACGCGTTTAAGTATTTCTCGTCCTATTAAGCATCACCAAATATGTTGTAATCTGAAAAAAAAACGTATCCAGAAGATAGTAAGAGGACTAAAAACAATCCACAGGTTGATGCATCTGAGTAAGGCACCAGAAGTGATAAGGTCACATATTCAGTCCACGTAATAAGTAGGATGTCTTGCGTTTGCCCGCGACTATACTGCAAATTGTGGTCCCTGGACAGTGACGCGAGTAGTCAGAAGAGTTGATCGTAATATGTACGAAGTATAGGTCAGAGGCAAAAAGAGGTTACGCCAGCGGCTAGGCCAAGATTTCCTATGAGTAGAAAGAAATCTTCACATTGACATCCTCCTTGCTACCTACATCCTACTTGGAGAACAAACTCAAAAACGAGCTAAACTACAAATAACTTCAATGTTCTACAGAGTAGAACATTGGTTAAGTTTCAAGTTCATCCAACGAGTTCACACTATTAACGTTGAAGGTGTGGAAAGGACAATTGATCCCTCAACATTGCTTGATAAATGACATAACCTTTACATTTACTGAATCGGTCAGTCGACTCAGAGATCTCCTGATGATTTCGAAAAGGCAATCCTTGTATGTGATTGTTTGATGTGTTTCTTCAGTGTGCTATGTCTGTGACTCTTCAAAGGTCGGCTCTATAATGAATAAATAACCTTGTTTTGTTTCCTTGTATTTGCTTTATTTGCAGGATGTTTAAAGAATGCACTTACTTCGCCAGATCGATTTTCTATCTCGTTTATCGACCAAGGTTAACTTGTGTAAAAGTCAAATATTCACGAAATGATTTGAAATTATATATTTTCTTCTACTTCTTATACAGTGAATTTTCCGTTTTGTCGTTGAGTTATTATTGTGGTGCAATGTTCATCTTGACCTTCTGAATATTGACGTTCCAAATTTTAAATTATTTTACTCCAGACTGAGTTCACAAAAAAAGCCTCTGTACGGCTTATAAAAATTATTGAACATCATTTGTAAGATACTTAAAGACAAGATGGTCGACAGTGAAATGTTAAAATCGCGATGAGTGTAGATGTGCCGAGGAATTTTTCGTGCATTCTGTTATACATGACGTAATTATTTCATTGTAGAAATTGCAGATGGTGACATTCAAAGCTTATTACTTGATGCATCACTGCAAATAGGAATGTTATTCTGTAGTCTCGCTGACTTTGTTACTTCGAATGGATACATGAAATTGGTTGTTGTTTTACAGAAACATTTCAATCATTTATTTCAGTGTGGATGATTATCAGTTCATGGCCATTCTGGAAAAGGCTTGGGAGAAATTGTCATGTTCATCATTTTTGATGAAAAATGTTTCACTTTTCAGTTCGTACTGGAATGTAAATAATTTGTACCTCACTTTTTCTGTGGTATTGTAATTCTCAGGCCGGACAATTTCTGAATTCAGAATGAATCCTTGAAATAGAAGAAGATAATGAAAATTTTCTCATAGAAATATCGAATAATTATTAGGATTGTTTTTTCTTACAGTCAGTGTACGTTGGTTTTCAGTAAGCTACACTGTCTTTTCTTGAACGCAGTATGTCAATCAAAACAATTGCCGAGAGCTTCAAAATACTGTCTTTTCAAGCTATGATAAATATATGTGTTCTA